TATGTGACTTTATATACGATTTACTCCAACACATTGTCTAGAAATGTATTTTTAATTAAGTTTGTGCAGCAAAATTATACAAAAAAATCAATTTTGACAAGTCATTACAATAACGAAATGGACTACAATTGAAATTTGTCCAGCTTCTTATTGTGTATGTTGGACAGCAGATCATATTATTGATTATACATAGTAAAAATTGTTTCTTTATTTTAACATGTGTTCTTTTTGTTACTGTGAACTCCATTTAAACAATCTAATTTGAAGAGTAAGAAATTACGGTAGATCAGGACTTATATTTAATTGTGTTTGGAAGCAAAGATTTAACTTTTCGTCTAAAAACTTGATAGTGCATAATTGTTTTTTCTAATGCAAAATATGCAATTAAATCTTATGTGATGTGTAAGGATATTAAACAATGCGAATAATTTGATCCCCATTTAGTTTTAGTTCATTCATACTCTTTCAAATTAAAAAATAAATTGAATCTGTATATATTTCTAAGATATCTTTGTAAATAAGTCGATTCTAAACCGCGTGTCACTCAACTCAAGTAAGTTTGGATACAAATAGGTTTCTATAAATAATAATACTAGTTTTGTTATCAATTATCCTATTTAAAAGGAACATAATGTAAAGCTTATTTTCAAATAACTGCATATCTTGTATACTTTTATTTTCATCTTTTCTCTTGTAATATCTTTTAACAAATTGAAGCTATAAGAATTTGAATTTATGGATGATTATGTTGATTTTTTTGATATTTTTTGTGAAATTAGTTATAGTACCATTGATTGTTAAATTTTTCAATTTTTTGTGAAAAAAATTGAAATCGATTAATGATCCAATGTTTCTTACACTTTCTGGTAATCATGTTAGTTTAAGCAATAATCTCGACTCAAGCTTGAATTTAATAAATCATAATGATTTATATATGAGAGAAATTATATCTAAAGCATATTCTTTGACTAAAATCACCGTACATTAAACTATAATATTATATTAGAGTTGTAGAATTGAAATGTGTATATAATGAGTGTGCGTGTATTGGAGTGTGTGTGTGTGTGCGCAGCTTGTGTTGTACTATTGTGAAGTATGTTGGATTTGTGAAATTTTGGGGGCAATGTGATTGTTGGATGTGTAAAATTTTGGAAAAATATATACCCCATAAATTCAAAAAACTAATTATTTCATTATATAGATAGAAATATTCCTCGATATCTTCGAATGGTCTCATAAAATTTAGAAAAATATTAAAGAGGAATTTAATCTATATTGACAAACTTATTTTTTACACCTCTAGTATACATTTCTAAAAGGGATTAAATTTTTTCCGGTAGTCAATCAAAATTGAGTTACACAAACATATAAAAAAATGTTAAAAATTTTCAATAAATTTGTATAACTCAACAATTTTAATTAATTGTCTATAAATAGTTTATTTACAAACAACCCCTAAAGAATCTACTCTCTTTTCGAAACTAACCTTTTAAATCCAAAGGAGTAAAATTTTCAAAACCTTGCATGCTCACAGGTCCCGATGAAAAAGACACGTGTCACAGTCACTCGCTCTTGGAAATCTGACCGGATAGGTTACGGGCAGCAGACAAGACACGGGGCAATGGATGGCGCCAAGTGGGCAGGGGAAATAATTGAAGATTTTGAGATGACAGCTAAAGGCCCAATGTGCCCACGTGCGCCTAGTCCAGTCTCTGGGTCCCAGGTCACCCACTGGATGAAATGTGACGAAGAAACGACAAAAGAAAACAAAAGCGACAGGCCCCACATCATAGGGTCATTATTTTAATCTGCGTCTCCACCCAAGTCCTCCCTTCTTTTACAATCCCGGTCAAAGTTCCACTTTTATACGAGCACCACTGGTCATGCGTCAGCTTATCAACATGCTACGTGTATCCAAATTTTATCAAATTTTTAAATTTAAATTTATAGTGATTTTGATAGAAGGGATGAAAAAATAAAATAATAGAAAAATAAATGAAAATGATTTCATCCTAGAGGAAGGAAATACCATTTTCCTTGTTTTTTTCCCTTTCCCCCTTTTCCTATCAAACCAAATACACTGCTGATGTGAAGGAGAACACTATCCTTCCAAACAAAAAAATTTAGTAATATATCGTCAAATTTTATAAATTTTATGAGTTATGATACAAATTTTTAAGTATGTTTACAACAAAAAAAATTATAATTTTGAGGTCTTATTTCTACTTTTATGATGCAAGTTACACCTTTTTTTGGGTCATTTATAGTTTTTCTGGGTTATTTGCAACATTTGAATATTATTTATAATTTTTTAGAGTTATTAACAATTTGATGGGTCAAGCCCAATGGTCCAACTCATGTTATACGTTCAATTTAAATTAAGAGCCTAACTTAAAAGAGATCCCGTAAGTCCAGCTCAAAGTGGTCCACGCTCAATCAAGCTTATCAGGATTTGAGGAGCTACATCAGCAAGGGAACATACAAGGTCATCCAAAAGCCTCACCCTCGCCGCCTTGGAAAGAGTCAACTCCCACATCATCCTTTCACCGAATCCTGTGGAGAGCACTGTAACTGTCTCATCAGTTGAGAAGAAGACTCCAACTCCAGCAGATTAGCTACTTAGTTACTAATAACTTGCTCAAATCTATTATAAGGCGACTATAAATTGTAAGTCCAACCAACACTTGGAGGGGGGCATGACACTCAGTCAAGCACATCTCTTCTATCTCTCTTAGCTTGTGTCTCCCTGCTCTCCCTACACACTAGAAGTAATAAAATACCCTAGCGACCCAAGCCATTCAAAGTGGATGTAGGTCGCGTTGACCAAACCACTATAAATTCTTATCTTACTTGTATCTCTCTTAATTATTGCATTTATTACTGTTCATCTGAGAGATGGTGTGTAACCCCAATTTGTAAGGCCAGACACCTACAAGATCCAAAAATTCGAGGGGAAAGACTTACCCCATCTGTGGAACATTGAACATCTAAAGAGGTACAACTACTGACACGTTAGCAGAGTAGAAACAGTTTAGGAACTTGATTTTATTTTTTGTATCTTTTTTGGGGTTATTGTCCACTATTGCTTAAAATAAACAGTAAATGAATAAAATTTTCTAAATTTGCTCCAAAAGATCTTTGTATTTTTGCATTCAATTTCAAAAGAGTATCAATGGCAAAAAACTACTTTTACAAAAATAAGGCTACAAACTGCCTATCTAAAAAAAAAAATCAACAGTCCTCAGCACTTAAAAAAAAAAATATCAAAAGTCATCAACACTCTAACTACCCTCATCGTCGTCCTCCTACTCCTCCTCGGCATCACTATCACCGTCAAAGCCTCCATAGCTATCATCAGGCTCTTCATATGGCATAAAGCTTGGAATGTCAATATCAGGGAAAGTAGTTGAGATATTTCCCCGATGCTCCTGATAACCATAAATAAAGACATCTGCAAGGCTAGTCTCCAAATCACTCTCAATCCTGACGGTTCTTCATGAGCCAATAGCAGATCCACCTCAGCCTGAGTAACTCTCTCGTAAGCTACCTTCGCCTCTATCTCTGCTCTCAAGCGGGCAGCCTCTTTGAGCAAGGCCCTCTTGTGGGTCTCCACAAGCTCAGTCTCTTTGAGCAAGGCCCTCTCATAGGTCTCTACAAGCTCAGCCTCTCTGAGTGTGTCCCTCTCACGGGTCACCAAAAATTAGGCCTCAAGCTTATTCGCCCTCTCATGGGTTGCCGAAAGCTCTGTCTTAGCCCTTGTGCAAGCAGCCTTTCTGAGAATGACCTTCTTATGGGTCGCCACAAGCTCGACCTGAGAAGCCCTACCAGTTGCTTCAAGCTCGGTAATCCTCCCCTAAGCAACAAAAAACTCTTTCTTTACAGCCTCATGACTAAGCTTTAGTTGCCTGTAAAAATGGACCCTTGAAAACAAGCATATAGATGCAGTTGAAGCCTAAAAAAAGATAAAAGACAGAGGAATGACAAAATGCATAAGGAAGGACTAGAGAAAGGGAAATAACAGACCCTTACTTGAGCCAGACCTTCTAGAGATGTGTTGATGGTTCCCTCGGTGCCTAGAGCACTAATCTCATTAACGTCAGGCAGAAACACGAATCTCCCAAGTCGTTCCCTAATGACTCGTACGTTATCCAACATGGAGCCAATTTGAGTGGGTGCCCCTGTAGAAGCTCCCATACGAGGAGTAGACAAACGGGGGGTAGAAGGTGTGGTCAACAGAAGAGTCTCTGGAGTAGTAGTCACAACTAAATGAGACACCGATCGAGGAGGCACCACTAAAGGGGTCACTTGAGGGGAGCTCACCTCGTGTGGCACCACTGGAGAGGTCACTTGGGAGTCATCGCTCATCTTCGCCACCTTAGGAGGAGGAGTGCTCCTACTAGAGTAACAAGACTCAACCACCGTTCTATCCACCACAAAGGAGATAAAGTGTTATCTAGATGAAAAATACCAAGTAAAGGAGGAAAGTATAAGAGGATCAACATACCCTTTCTCTTCAAAGAGGAACCGCCGAATATCGGAGAAAGTGCACCAGCCCTAGCACTGATTATAGGGGAACCTCTAGCTCCATTGTCTTTAGACATAAGAACTCCAAAGTCTTTTTCAGGATGAGCCATCACGGTCTTTAACTTCCACTCTTAGTCCTTCGAGAGCATAGGAGAATCTGCAAAGGCATGATAAGTACACCAAAAAAAAAAAGAAGAAGCAAAGGAGAAAGAGCAAGTGTAGGGCATACCAAATTTCTTAGGAGTACCCCATCCTGTTGGTACCAAAGCCCTATCAGCCTCTAAAGCCTACTCTCTGCTGACAAACAAGAAACAAGACATCTAGCTATGATAGTTGGAGCATAATCCGGTAATCAACTTACCTCCTCTCGTAGTAAAATAGTACTAGTCTCAATTAGGAGCAAAAGTCCATCTCAAAGTGTAAGCTGTGTGAAAATCGCCAGGAGAGGCATCCTCATGATGCATCTTCCTCCACAATACCATAAAACATAGCCAAACTCTCCAACCATTGGATGCCAACTGCCCTGGTGTCAGTGAAAAATGATGCAGAATACGAAAAATGGAAGAAAGTATTGGGAACCTGAGCCCAACATCAAGCATCTCCTCATAGATAGCAATGTCTCCAAAGGAGTCATCACATGCAGGCTCACCCATATCGGCTTGACGACGTAGTACCGTAGGAGGAATGTGGTAAGCAGAGATAATCCACAAAATATCAGCGTCCGTATTAAAAATGTTAGAAATAGTACTCACTTTGGATCTATCGTCGTCAAGAGCTACCTTCCCTCGGTGCTTTTTGTTGCAAGGGCGAGAAGGGTTGCCCGAGCCACTACTAGGGAGTCCTTTAGGAATCTAACTTTGAGAAGTTACGCCTGAGCGAGCCAGATCATCCACCACATTGCCAGAATTGTCACTATCAAAAGTACCAATGGCTAATCTCGTCTTGCCTAATAGCGGAGGCACCTCACAAGCAGCGTCCAGCATAATAAGCGCCTCATCGCCAATACCTGACACCTGAGGCGTCTTGCCCAGTGCTATAGGTACTTCACAGTTGCTACCCACTGCTTGACCAAGCATCATAGGAGCTTCAGAGATGTTGTTTGCCACCTAAGGCAGCCTTGCGAGTGCTTGATCTGCTTGGGCTGCCCGCCCATCTCCTCTCTAGGCCACTTGGGCTGCTCGTCTATCTCCTCTCCAAGCCACTTGGGAATCTCGCCCATCTCCATGCTAGATCGCCCCCTTACGCGAATAGGTTGCTCGCCTAGATTACCTGGATCGGTGCCCAGGTCATCCCCCTACTCGCCAGACTGCCTGGATCGGTGCCCAGGTCATACTTCACATCACGCGCATCCAGCGCCTCCTCTGCGAGAACAACAGGTAGCCCCTGGGCATTCTTCACACAAATAGCCAGCTCACCTAGCTGGGTTGTTCACCTCGGCTGGATTGCCGCCCTTCCCATCTAGGCCTCCTCCCTCGCCTCGCCTCGCCTACACAAACAACTGGTGCCCATGGAGCCTCCACTCCGGTGCTTAGCGCCTCATTCTCCTTTCTAGAACAACACAAATTTCTTCGAGTTTGTCACCAAGGTTCGCAGATCTCTACACATCTTCTCCTTCAGTCGCCTGTGTTCAAAGTTCTTAACCCAAGAGTCTCTCCTATGTTGTCTTGAAGGATTTCAAGAAAATTTCTACTTCTCCCTCTCAAAACTATATGGAATGGGTGGAATGAAGAAGAAACTTTCTATTTATAGCCTAGAGTTTTAAAATCCTATTAAGGGAAGGAAAAAGCAAAAAGCCCCAATTTATAGCCTAGAGCTCTTTAAGAATCCAAAAGAGGGAATAAAAAGAGTTTATATAGCTAATGGTGTCCCACAAGCAAAAGGAGTTTACAAGAAGGAAGGGAGTCGCCAATCAAAAGGAGTCTCCAAGAAATCCAAGTCAAGAATGGTTGATCGCTATTTTGACTGTAACTTTTACTTCGTTACACCAAATGAGACTCATAATATATCAAATCAAAACTCTCGGCAAGCCCTACAAGACTCAATGTCTTTGCTTGTGACAGACGCTGTTAAAAGCCCAAAAAAATCCTAGAAACATATGTTTTGGCCTCCCAAAGTTTTTCAACTTGTGCATTCAGCCAAAATTCAAACTCAATCAAATGCCCTCCTATACAAGTTTTATTGGATACATGGCATTAGGGGGGCCAAGCCCAAGGGCCCAACTCATGTTATAAGCACAGTTTAAATTAAGAGCCTCACTTAAGAGAGATCTTGTAAGTTCAACCCAAAGTGGTCTATGTCCAGTCAAGCTCATCAGGGTTTGAGGAGCTACATTAGTAAGGGAGCATTTAGGGTCATCCAAAAGCCTCTTCCTCACCGCCTTGAAAAGAGTCAACCCCCACATCATCCTTTGATTGAATCCTATGGAGAGCATCGTAACTGCCTCATAAGTTGAGAAGAGGATGCCAACTCCATCTAAACTTCTCCTAATGTGAATGATAGAATTAATGAAACCCACAAACTTTTGCAAACTATACAATAACTAGTAATATGTCATATTATTTAAAAACCAAAATTATGTAAAATTTTTATGGATACATCATGTCTCAAAGATAGTGTATGATACATTCAAATTACACTCTTCTGTATGAGTTTTATAATCTTTGACATCTCGAATTTTTTGACAGTTATAGTTGATATATATATATATATATATATATATATATATATATATATATATATATATTTGTTTAGAATAGTAAATTACTTATCATGTATTAAAAAGAAGCCAGTATTATCATATATGAAAAATAATTTTAGTACCATCATTCACTTTTCACCAATAAAAAATGTGTATACAATTTTTTTTTATTTTTTTTAAATCAATGATTATAAATCATCTAATTTAAAATCGATGATCGAGATTTTAGAGGCAAGATAATCTTACATGTTGATCCCAAAAGCTGCGCACCAATGAATGTCTGATGACCTAGTAATCACCTATGGGTTCTTGCAAAGAAGTCAAAGACTAGAGGGACTCTATTGGTTGATTCTTCAATGATTAAGTCAATAAGTTGAAGAGGATTAGCTGGAATGGAGTTGAGAGGAATTACTTAACAGGCTTTAGCTCCTCTCCTTTATTTGTTGATCTCTTATTACCGTTGAAGTTCTTCAGCAACCTTTTGAATGGGACGACAGCAAGGAAAGTGGAACCTCCATCCCAGAATGTTGGAACTATTTTGAGCTATTATTGTGGGATATGGGCGAGCAATCTGATATACCATTTGGATTTTGGAGTAGGATGCATCACACCAAATTATGTCCTTTGATTCATATGCTTGCCTCATGGCTATCACATGTCTGTTGGCTCACATACTCGTCTTAGGGATAATTCTATCTACATCAGCTAATTCTATGCATTCATTACACTTGCCAGTTAGATAGGAGTAGAATTGTTTGCTTCATGCACACAATCACCAAGGGGCCGTTGTGGGCCCGGTATATGTAATGTTCTTCCTTCTTCTTCTTTGATTGTCTTTGAGAGCTTCCTAAATTATGGTATGCCTTTACCTCTTTGCCCTAATCCTCTTTTGCCTTCCTATTTACCACAATTCTTCGCTCTGGAGTGCATAGGTTGGAGCCATATATTCAAATTTTACTTTTATCACTTTTGCTTTCTGAGGTAGAGGAACTCCAGCCTTGAACCTTTAGGGTTTTTTGTAAGTGAATTTGTTAGCGCTCGACTTGCATCTATTCTCAATTTTTTCCTTTCTTTAGTTGCTATTCATTCTGTCCCCCCGAATTTATATATCAACCACCAAAGTTTTCTAGTTATGGCAATCAACTCTAATCAATCCTCCTCTAAGAGTGTTCCAGTAGTCATAGCCCAAGCTGATGCATCAAATGAGGATTATAATACTATTCAAGAGATTGGGTCATCAACTATAAGAGTCAGTGGGGCCAATAATTACCACAACTGTCTGAATGAGAGCTCTCTTCAAGAGCTAAGGGCTCAATATTGGATCCTTGAATTTGTGTGTTTGTGAGTACCCTCCGCTAACGAGGCTACTAGTTCTTTTTTTTCCCGATGAGGCTTGCTTCTATGAGCTATTCTTGAAGTTGGGCTCCATTTTTTTTATCCCTAAGTATATTAAGGAGACCCTTTACCTTTGAACCTTGCTCATGCCCAGTTGGCCTCCAATAGTTAGGGTTTTTTGATTGGTATGGGCGTCATCTGGGCTAAGGCGAATGGTGCGGGCATACAACCAACCTTTGCTGAGCTCATGTAGTGCTACAAGCTCACCCCATGCTTTGGGCAAGGCTTGGGGTGGTTCTACTTCTTGAAGAGAGAAGGTATGCCCTATTGACAAGTTACTCCTCAAATTTGAAGGAATGGAAATACAAGTTTTTCTTTGTTTTCGATCCCAATTGGGAATTTGGCCCCGTTGAGGTTCCTTCTAGCAGCTCGTTTTGGGTTCCTTGCATTTGGGGGACTCCTACCCCTCTTTCAAGTAAGTGCGCTCCCTTTCAATGATTTCCCATATTGTCTTTATCCCTTTTCAAGTGCACTTAAATAAAATCTCCTATTCGCTTAGTTGAGGACATAGATTAAATAGGCACTTGACTATCCCACAGAGGACCCCTCTAAGCTTATGAGTGATCAGGCTCTCTTTAAGTGTCTGCTGGGGCCTTCTCCAAGTGGCCCCGATGTTTCGCCTTTTGCAACCTCTCTTCCAAAAGGTATAAATATTTCTTTCTACAATTTTTCCGAGCTTCAGACATGCCCTAATATGTGGAACTCTCCAGCTATAGCCGCTAAGGTCATTGGCAAGAAATCTCTTTCAGGCAGTTGCAGTCAAGAGGGTACCTAAAAACGAGCCCCTTTTCTCGCAAGAAATCGAGGATATCTTTCCCTTGAGTGAAGAGGGAGTCGCCAACTCCAATACGTCTCCAACCTCTTCTCCATCCACTGTCATCACCCCAGGGGATACTACCCTTCAAGTTTCCAATACTAGGCTGGCCAAGTCTCTTCCTTAGGTGGAAGATCTATCGACTGACAAAGGAAAGGGTGTGGTTTCAGGAGATACTGAGGAGAAGTCTCACCCCATTCCATCCTTTTCGATGAGCCCAACAGCTGCTCCTCAGTCCATATGGGACAATGTGGATGAGGCTATGGCCCAACTTTACTAGTTTGTTCATGAAGACGATTTGAAAGGTAAAGGCTGCTTAAGCACTAATTTATCTGTGTCAAGACTCTTTCGTTGGGCTAGACCATTCTCCTACGGTGGTTGAGTTCATTAACCTCTTCTACTTGGCCCCCAACGATCATGACTTTTTACTAGTTCCTTTGAAGAGAGGACATGCCTGAGATCGTCTCTAAACTCCTACACCCTCCCCTTACTTGTGAAAGGAGATTCTTCTACATTTCTAGAGATGGATGGGAGTTTGAAGGGGCTGTAGAAGCCTTAGTCATTGGGTTCCCCTGATCTAGCACCCTCTATCTAACACAAGTTTTTCTATTATTTTCACTATAAAGTCCTTCCTTTTTTGCCTTAAATTAATCTTGCTAGTTCACATTTGCAGTAGAGAGGCCTTTCTTGTGCCCAATTGGACGGACCAAGATTGAGAGGGCTACTGAAGGAGGACCCAAGCCTCGTACGAGCTTAATTGCTCATGAGAAACTTATTTTCCTTAGTCTTGATTACCCATTTCGAAGGATGATACTATAGGGCCAATTGTGGAGTCAGAGCTGGGAAAAGGGATCTTCTTTACATGGGAAACGACAAAAGGGGGCTGACTGGGCTTCAACCATGCTACTTTTTGTTTTCTCCTTTTTAGTAAAATTGTATAGTTTACTCAATTTATTAATGAATGAACACTTTTTTGCCTTCTTTGCTCTCCTCCCTATTCCCTTGACTTTTGGAAGAATTTTTTTTTGTAAAATTCACTTCTGAACTTTATTTGAACTAAGTTAGGTACTTGAAAGTCCCGTCTTTGCTTCTATTGAGTCGAATAGACTCAATCCAAGCTAGGCGAGGAGATTGAAAGTCCCGTCTTTACTTTTGTTGAATCAAATAGACTCAATCCAAGCTAGGTAAGGCGCTA